GTAGGCTAGTGGATATTTTACGCGCATGCGCTGTAGTAGGTCTCGAATAAATTCATATTTTTATTTACATTTTATCATTTTGCAGATGCTTTTATCCACAGCGACTCAGTCTAACGACTTGGTCTTAGTGAAGTCTAACGCAGTACATGTAGCAAGGGTTTTTGACCTACGTTACATATCTACACGATGACCTACATTACATTACAATGTAAAAACTTTAATGTCTAAATTAATCCGCGACGTTTTTGTCTATACCGGCAACTTCAAACCTTTATTGATTTATTTATTTATTGAATAGCCTGCATTTCATATGTTATCGCCAGGGTGCACATCAGTGCTGTATCCATTATTATAAGGATACAACAAGCACTGTAACATGATTGATATGCAGACGTTGCCCTGTAAATAGCTAATTATTATACATCGCTCTATCAGAGTTAGCCTAAATGTATTTTTGATTGTATCCGTCATGTTTATTTAAATTTAATTGGGGATATTAGATTAATGCCGATCCATTTTGTTTATTTAGATTTTATATTATTCTAATATAGCTATTAATACAGACATTTTCAACAATAATACAATTTAAAAAAAAACAACCATTACATTGATATTAAGACTTTACCTCGCTAATAACGCCTCAGTCAGGTCAATGACATGTAGTTGCTTTTCATACTATCGTCTGATACAACACTCAAAAAAAGTCTCCCGAGAGAGAAAGAGAGAGAGAAAGAGAGAGAAAGAGAGAGAGAGAGAGAGAGAATGGATGGTTTATGTCTTTAGCCCTTTATAATTGGTCTCTATCTCCAGGGATTTCACTTGCATATAACACACAAAAAAATAAATTATGCCTTGTCCCCGAGTCCCCGACCGTGTGTGTATTTATTTGCTGGACATGGGAAAACTAATAAAAAATAAACATAGCTTACATACCAAACTCTTTAATTTTCAAAACTACGCCATGGTTGCTTAAATAAAGTTTGAATACACTACTAGTTTAAAATCACAGTATAATATAATTTGTGTAAGCCTATGAAACACACCTATATCTCAGTTTAATTTACATTAAATACTAGCTTCAATGACAGCCCCTACTTTGCGCATGCGCACTAAAATCCAATACTGCGCATGCTCGTCACACATCCAGTACGTATTGGATCTGATCCAGCTACGTCATTGTGCTACAGGCTGCAGCGAGGACCTCTTGTTGAAAGTAGCTGTAACTTAATAAAACCTAGTAAGTATAACAACTAAGTAAAGATAACTAATTAAATCTAAGTACGGTAAACTATTGGATTTTACAGTGTATAAGTTTATCTTTCCCTGTATTCAAAAGCTGGTTCCTGGTTCTGACAGGTTTGTCTGCAAGTCTGTAAATCAGGTTCCTCATTCCTTGTCCTGGAGAGCCACTTTCCTGCTGGGTTTAGTACTCCAAACACACGACTGTATTTTTCAAGAGAACGCAGACACCTTGCTTTTCTTTTTTAGGTGATGTTTATGAAAATATAGGGCAGACCGGGGATGGTTGTAACACGAGTCAGTTGTAACACTTCCAATTTCTCCAATCAGGAGCAAGTTACAAATCGCTTAATTTACTTCACACATGCTCAGTTTAGTTCTTATTCCACATGTGGGGAAGTAAATCTCTGTGGCAGGTTTTGAGGTAAGAAAGTAACTTTTTTTCCACTTCATTTATTTTTGTGATGGCAATGCCTGCTGTGTAGTTAAACTTGTCAAAGTTAAATTGTTGTGTGTCTGTTCAGATATTTTTCAGGCAAGTAGTTAGTGCTAATGTTTTGGCTGTTAGCTGTAAGGTGAGCTGGTTCATTGCTACAAGACTCTGGGTTAGCTGTAACATCAATGAAACAGGTTATAACCTACCCCAAGCAAATTTTTTGATGTATTTATAATTTTTCTTTGAATTGCAATATGCCTAGTTCTTTGAAGAGAAAGACAAACCAAGGGGTGTCTCTCAACGTTCAAGCAAAATTTTATTATGGCCATTTACTAAGATTGACAGTAATAACAAACATGCTTACACACACGCACGCACGCACACACACACACACACATTTCACTCTTCCTGTTTGAAACCAAACCATGCATTTTTGTTTGTGCTGCAAAGATAATAGCAGTGTCATTTAATAGCAGACACTTGTAACTAGTCTGAATGCAGTGGCTTAGAAGAACTTGAAGATATAGGCAGGAATGTCAAAATGATACAACTATCCCGTCAGTCTCCCCCTTTCCAGCAGGAAAGTGCCACTCCAGGACAAGGAGTGAGAACCAAGAAAAGATCTAAAACATGCTTTACAGACTTGCAGACAATCCTGTTTTGTCAAGATTTACACAAAGAGAGTGTGCACTAGCCAGTTCAGGAGCCAAATGTTAAAAAGCTCTACCTCCTTTAGTAGACTTTTGGATCATTTATTGGTTGTGTACAATGTTTTAGAATTTTGCAAGTTAGATCATCAATAAACATGGGATAAAATATGTTTTCTGGAGTTTAAATACTACTCAGTTGTCTTTGGTCATGGCAACTGGTTTGTTTCTGGTCCAAGGTGATCTGCCATCTCTAACCAGTCTGATTAAAATCTATCAGGACGATTAAACTTTGCTTAAAAATGCATTTAGATTGACTGATGAACACAGAAACTCAGAAAAAGTTAATGGCCAGTTAACAGAAATATTCTACTATATGGCCTATTTGGTGATGGGAACCACAAAAACCACATAGTTGCCTACTATGAAAAGCAAGAGATGCAAATGAAATGGCTGTTGTATGACCAAAATGATTATTTATTTTTTTGTTATTTGTACTGTACACCAGGCCTCAGCTACCCACTTTGAGCTAAACAGCAGCCCAATCAAATATTCTTCACTTTTCTGGCTTTTACCAGATGAGCTGATCTTAAGAAGGTGTTCATCAGACTGTCATCTATGTAAGTATATTTCAAGAGTACACATTCAAAACTGGTGAGTGTTTCACCTCACTGTCCCTCTGGGGGAACGGAGCAGGAACACGTCTTGGAGCCATCAAATTCAAGACCAACAAGGGTGGAGAATTATTTGCAAAGATAACAAGCTGGGGTTTAAAAACAGAATATCCCCTCGATGTTGGCTCTGGTTATTGTTTGGGAGTTGTAGGAAGATCTGCTGAAGATATTGACTCCATGGGATTCATGTTTCTCAATGCGGTTCAATCAACAGTTCTCACCAATGTCAACTATCCCACAATAAATCAACTGATTTGACCTGCCTTACACTGGCACAGTGAAGATCACTTGCAAGAATGGCAATGTGTTACAGTATGAAACCAAGGGCCAATACAAAGGCACCACTTACACTGGTATCAAAGTTAAATCTAAAGAATCTAGTGTGTAATTTTAAAAACAATTATTCTTGACTGTCTTTAACTAATGTTGCCAGCAATGTATCCATTTTTCTACTTTTGTATGATTTGTTTGATATTTCCTCCTTTGTTCCATTTCAAATGTCTATTTGCTCCGGGTTTTTTTAACAGGTGAAATACGCAGCACTTTTTCAAATAATCTTATACAAAAAGGGTTCTTTTATGGTATTACGGTGAAAGCTCCCTTTTGGAATCTTTTTTTAAAGAGTGAACTCAAGCTTTATATCTGATTCTCAAATTCCTCCAAATCTTAGTTATTTGACTATAATAATCTAAACCACTATAATGCGAATAAATTAAGTGTATCTTAAATTTCTCTAATACGAAATAAAGTTTAAATTGAATTGATTTAATTTTATTATTATTTATTCTACAAATTAGATTAGAACTCATGTCTGCTCGAACCTTAATAATTGTAACAATTTTAAGTTCTTTATGTTCTTATGTTTCTTAACATAATTTTCTTCATGCTGTTCTCTATTGTTTCATTTTTAAATGTGGGGTTCTTTTTGTATTGTCATGGGTAATTGTCTCGGCTTGTTAATTCATATGTTTGTTAAATGTATGTTTGTTTTGTCAGGAAGACAACTTAACATAACCAATAATACAATATTAGCTGAACTTTAGCCTCTTAATCTTTGGTAGATGTTCAGCTAAAAGCTTTAGTTACATTTCCACATGAAATTAATTACATGAATTAAAACATAATGACTTTAAAGGTTTGTAATGTAAGCATCATTCAACACTTTCAAATGGTATTCTACAATCTGAATAAAATGATTAATATATCTTTGGACAAACAGAGAATGATATAAGTATAGTTCATGTTGCTATACAGTTGTCACCATCACCAGTTGGAATGCCCATGATAGCCACCAGAAGGCACTCCATCCCATACCTTTGCCACTCTATCCTGGACTGAATTTCCCATAACTCATTGCCTGGACTCATCATGCCTGATTGATTTCACCTGTTGCTCATTCCCTCTGCCTATATAAGCCTGGTGTTTTCAGTCACTCTTTGTAAGGTTTTGTATGAGTCACAGCTGCAGTTCTAAGCCTTTTATCATGGTTCTTGGTATTCTGCCTGTTTATCTGGATTACTTTAATTGTACTTTAAGACTGGATTATCTTGCATTACTTGAATTACGTTTGCCTTATCCCTGAACTCTGTCATTGTTTGGACTGCTTATTGTGTTTGACCTCATGACTGTTTTGACTACGATTGTGGATTATCCCTCTAATCAACTACTGCACTTGGATCCTCAGCCTCCGTGTCTCTGTGCAGTTTTGTGACAACATTTGAGGCATGTGTTTCTGTTCGAGTTTGTGATTGGAATGACTTGGAAAAACTAGTAGTGTATAATCCTCAATTGTTTAGTGTAGGATGTACAGTTTTTCAATTGTAACTTGTAAGTCAGCAAGTGCGTGATATCTAGTGTTTTAAAATCTGTTCTGATTATTCAAAAGCTGCTTCCTGGTTCTGAGTTTGCAGAAAAAACTGGTTTGTCAGCACATCTGAAAAGCAGGTTCCTCATTTCTTGTCCTAGTTTTAGTTTCAACTGTGATCCAAACATGTGACTGTAGTTTTCAAGAGAACGCTAACGCCTTGCTTTTTTGATAATGTTTTTGAAAATATTGGCAAGACCGGAAATGGTTGCAACATCGTCAGTTGCAATGCCTCCAATTCCTCCAATCAGGAATAAGCAACAAATCGCCTGTTTCACTTCACACATGCTCAGTTTAGTCCTTATTCCACAAGTGAGGAAGCAGAGTTCTGTGTCAGACAGCAGAATTTAGAGGGGATAAAACTAATTTTGAGGTAAGAAAGTTACTTTTTTTTTTTTTTTTTTTTTTTT